AACGCACATGTGCCACTTGACATTGGCCTTCTTCACGAGGACTGGATTTGCTACCTAGCTCGGGTACTGGACCTCCTTAACGAAGTTTGTTGCGAGGAGCTTCCTGACCTCCTCATCTACTACCCTCCACCTTTCTAGGGCAAGGTTTCTCTTCCTTTGTCTGACTGGCCTGACTAAAGGGTCGACATTAAGTTTGAGTAATTAAGCTAGGGTCAATGCCCGACATCTCTGAAGCCGACCATGCAAAAACATCTAGATTATTTAATAAAAAGCTTACCAGTTGCGACCGAAGTGGTTCATTTAGGCAAGCGTCGATCTAGAGAGTCTTCATGGGCTCGGTATCTAAGACCGGGACCTAGACCGTATCCTCCATTGGTGCAGCTCACTTGTTGGTGTGTTTGGGGGGTGGCTCCAGCTTGACGTCATCTGCCAATTTCGTTTTGCCCTTTAATGCCAATACATAGCACTTTCGCGATTCCAGTTGGTTGCCCCGTACTACCCCCCCTCCCACTCCGCAGCTCATCGAAAATTTTGTCAAGAGATAGTAGGTTGACACCACCACACGAATTGCATGCAAGATGGGCCGACCTAAAATGACATTGTAAGGGGATGAGGTGGCAACCACAAGGAAAGTGTGCTCAAACTGGATAGTGTTGGGCTCCGCTCCTACTACCACTGACATTTTGATCTTGCCGAGGGGTTCCACCATATCACCACTGAAACTGACCATAGGCATGTCTGCTAGCTAGAGGTCCTTCCGATTCAATTCCATCTTTTCAAACACCTCTAGGAAAAGGATGTCCACAGAGCTTACTAAATCAACTATAATCCGCTTTACCTCGAAGTCATTGATTACCATCTTGACAACGAGGGCATCATCATGTGGATACTAGATCCTGCAAGCATCATCCTCGATGAAGTAAATCACTTCCTCCATTCGAGGGCGCTTCGGCGGGTTCTCGTCCTTGCGCTCTAGCTCCTGGAATGTTGTCTTACCTGCTGCTATGCTGTAACCCACTACGATGGATCCACCTGTAATCATATTGATCACCCCACGGATCGGTCTCTCTAGTGTTGGGGGATCCCGGGGTGGCTGCTCTTTGTCATTACGCCTGCTTAGCTCCGGTGCATCTCTTCGGTGCTTGGCAGGTTAGTGGTCTCTGTCTTTATCATCTTTATGAAATTTCTGAGATAGCTGCGATGGATCAGCTCCTCGATCTTGTCTTTCAAGTTGCGACAGCCAAGGGTCAAAGTATCGGAAATGCAAGGTGTATCGGAAAGGTAATTTTAAGAGACGTATCAAGATACGCTTTGGAAATGTATAGATACGGACGAAAAATCAAGATACACATGGATACACTAGAAAATCCAAAACAAAATCCTTAAAAATATGAACAATAATAAGAATGAGTTTTATGTGAGTATAACTAATTTATTTAAACATAAAAACCATTCTTTAATGATTTATATAAAGTAGTGGAATATAATTAGTAACCATTGAAAAATAATAGAAGAACTAAAATGTGTGTATATATATACTAATATTTATTAGTTAATATTTTTTTGAAATCATTTATTACTTAATATTTATTATATATAGATTTAGATAATATTTATTATGTATACAAGTTAATATATACCTTAATTTTTAATAAATAAATATAACTTGTATTCATCTTATTATTATATAAATATTAATAATCAAATTTATAGCATTTGTTGGGAAACATCCACCAAGGCAAGAAATATTACTTTAACTATAAAAAAACATGTCATTCTAATAAGTAATTAAGGTTGGCGTAATGGTTAATTAATTATTGTTATAAGCAAATGACTTGGGTTCGAAACTTATTATCTTTGGTTTGTGATTTTTAACAAGTTATTTCACTTAAATAACATTTAATGACATATTAAATACTCTAATCAAAGGTAACTTAAATGAGCATTTAATTAAATTATAGTAGCATTTAGTGACGTCTCAAACTTTAAGACTTAATTAAAATTGATATTAATGAGAGAGAGAAGAGATAAATTAAATTTAAATTTAAAAAGAAGAGGGAAATTAAATTTGGTTGATACATAATGCGTATCGACGCGTTTTGGGTTGCTCTTTGGCGACTTGCTTTTTTGCCGTTGATGTTTGCTGCTGCTTGTTTCTTCATCTGTTATCTTCCTTTTTCTGGCCTGGTGCAGCTCTAACTGGGACCTGAAAGCCTCTTCCGCCTTGATGAACTTATCTGCTTCATCGAGGAACACCTCCACGGAAGTAGGTGGGTTCAACTCGAGTTGCCAACGGAAATCTGGGTGGCGGACTCCCTTTTGAGGTTGCACGGTGCGCAAGATTCGGCACCTGTAGTCTTTTCAAGTTGAACCTTTTAATGTAGTCCCTTAAGGACTCATTCTACCGTTGTACCACGTTAAGAAGGCTAGTCACAGACTTCGGGCACTTCTTACTTATGACAAAGTGTGTTGTGAAAAGATCCACAAACTGCTTCCAGCTTTTGATCGAGCCAGGGGATAGACCTCGGTACCACCATCTTGCAGTTTCTCTGAAGGTCGTAGAAAAGGCCATACAGAGACTAGCTTCATATGCCTCGACGAGTAACACCAAGGACTGGAAGCTATCAACATGGCCGTTTGGATCAGTGCTTCCATTGTAAGTCTCCAAGGCAGGTGTCTTGAAGTTCTTTGGCCGCGGAGCCGAGAGGATCTCAAGTGCTAAGGGGGAAGGCCGGCTCAGTGGAATTGAGGCTGGCTGTGCTGCTACCAAGCTCACTTCTTCCCTTCTCTTCTCTACTTCGGCCGTTGGGGTGGCATTGCTTCTTCCTGAGGTGTGGCGAGCATGTCGGCGGCATTGCTCTTGGCCACCTCGTTGGTGCTATTGACTTCAGTGTTGGCCAAAGTCTCGGCCCTGGCATTCTCTCGGTCTCTGACATGGTCATGGACTGGGGGCTGGTCCCGATAATCGATGTTCTCACGAACAAGGGCTAGGTCCTGGTTATCGAGGTGATAGGAGGGATCCCGGGCTGGATCCTCACCCCTTACCCCGGGTTGCTAGTTGATATGTTGTCTATCATCTTGTCGATGGTGTTGCTGGTTGTGCTGCTCATGATGACGTTGGTCATTCCGCGATTGTTGCTGTTGACCGCTCTGATTGCTGCATTGCGGCTGGTTCCGCAGGTCAACGACGAAGTGTCTGGGTGGTGAAAGACACTAGATTGGTGCTGGATCTCGAGGTGCAGTTGGGCCCCGAGGTGGGGTTGGGACCCGAGATGGTGTTGACCCTCGGGGAGGTGACTGGCGTCTATTCTGCTGTTTTGGTTCTATTGATGGAGAGGCGGGAACTGGTACTGGTACTGATATTGCTGGGGCTGCGGTGGCATATAGGCACTGAACCTCTGCTCCCAAGACTGCAACTATAGGTTCATGATTTGAACACTTTGCAAGAGTTCATGGAACTGTCGTGCTTCTATCCCAACGGGAACCATGGAGGGCTCTACCACTGGGAGAGAAACGCTCACATGAGGCATGGGGGCATTGACTTGCTAGAGAGGAAAGGCTGGAATCTGTGCTGCTTATACCCCTGGGAGAGTGAGGGGCATTGTCATTTGCTCGATGGTCACAGAGGGGACCTCTGGGTTGATAGCTGGCTGATCTTGCCAAGTTAGTAATCTGGTATGCGAGTTGAAAGCTTAATTGCAAGTAGGCTAGTGACCAATAAATCGCGCGTACCTTACATTGTTGGGGTTGGCGCCCTTATATAGGTGATCTGTCGCATGCATTATGAAACGCTTTTGAGATCCCCGGTCTGTGCTAATTGGAATCCGTTCCACTCTAGGAGGTGGACTTTATGCAAGCTGATAAGGCTTATCGAGTCTGTTCAATCTGGTCGGGATGAGGATAAGGCTTGCGGACGTACAGTATGATCCCGAAAAGATTGGAGACAGTTGGCTAATTTTTAGAAGTTGGTTACGTGTCACCTCGTCGGTCTTGGCCGGGGTGCCCGAGGTACCCGAACTGATCTGACTCGCTAAGATGGCAGAAAATGCCAAATTATTATCCAATCAATAGGTCACTTCCACGTTTTCGGGTATCGATAGATCGGGCCAAATTACCCCTCATAATAAGCTTTACGTACTACGGGCTCAATTACAATGCTGCTTCCTATTGATGCTGCACTTAACTTTGATAAAAACAGAACAGTTTAAAGCAATGTGGTTTAACGTCGTCGCTGTCCATTGACCTTAGAACTTTGATTACAATGCTGCTTCCTATTTTGCCATATAGATCCAATACCCATATAATCTTTTAAAACATGTAATTTGGTTTTGTAGATTGTAAGAATTTGATAAAAGAGAATTTAACAAGTAGGTAGATTTCATCGGCTTTAATTACTGGCAATATAATTCTCAGTCTATACAAACAATTACATAAATTATTGTAGTTTAATATTTAGAAACAAAAATTATTACAATTAACTTAATAAAAGTTTTGGGAGTTTTGGAAAATTATTAATTTAATATAAATTAATAATTCTCAAAATTTATCAAAACCAACTTTGAAATAGTGGAAAGTTGTTAATTCAGCAGAAATTATAATTTAATTTTGTTGGGGGAAAATCTCTAAATACCCAATTCATCCCCACTCTGGAAGTCCATAGCCGAGTTCACATCTCCTCCCCACAACGCCGTACAATACATCTTCATCGTGTATTGGAAACATTTCATCGGTTCTGGTATATCATCGGAAGATGTTCTCAATAAACGGCGGGGATGTGCTGTGGGGCGTTGTGGGGCGGCACCATGTGGGGATTAGATGTGATCTCTCAATAGCCCCCCCCGCTCATTTTATCCTACGACTTAGTCCAACACTGAGTCAGTTGAAACCTTGTTAACCCGTTGCTGAGTCAATACAACCTCGTTTCCACAGTCCTGACCATTTAGACATCTTGCGCAATCCAACGGCTTGATACTACATCATCATCATCATCATCGTCCCAGTCCCAGATGAAAGCCATATAAGCGGTGACACCAGGAACCAAGCGTGCTAGCCAGCCGCGTCCAACGTCCAACATCACCCAACCAAGCTGATTCTCTCCCTTTTCCTTCTCTTCTTCAAATCTTCATCCAGTTCTGACCACTGAATCGTCCGCAGGTTAGTTTCTTTTCTTTCCTCTCGAAACGGCTCGTCTGATTTGATTGGTTTCTACTTATCCTTCTTACTCAGCGGTGGGTTCTGTTTATTATTGTCTTTGTTTTTCCCAATTACATGACTGGGTTTTGTTTGTTATTCGGTGGCAGTAGGGGAGATGGGAAGAATATTTCTAGTGGAGCTGGATGGTAGGGTTTATAAATGCAAATTCTGCGGAAGTCACTTGGCTCTCGCCGATGATCTCGTCTCCAAGGTATTTTCTTCCTCTTCTTTCCTATTTTCACCCTTTTCAATCTCACCTGGTTCTTTTTCTTTTAACAATCTATGTTTCCAAGTAATGAATTGACTACCAAATTATGAAAATAAAAATAAATAATATCGAGTTGACTAGGAGAATGCCCACATAGCTCGAATAGATTCTGGAAGTCTGTTAGATGAATAACTTGGAACGAAATGCAGTGCCGAGGCTTTAAGGTCAACATAACTAGGAATAGGCTAAAAAATGGACAACGGATGAGATTGAAAGAGCTCGGTTTTCTCACTTTTCATGTTTACTTTATCTATCAAACGAGGGACTCTAGGATGGTGACATTAATGAATTTCATTCTCGCTAAGTGAGAAATTTTCAATTTTGTGCTTGATATGTGGATGTTTTCGCTAAGTTTCTTTCCGGCATTTCTTTTCTGTAAAATGGTATTCGATGATCAAGAAGACAAGAATGAATTCATTGATCAATTACAGATATATATATAGATTCAATACACGTGGAATGAAGTCTTGTAACTAACTCCAGCTGGCAAGAAACTCTCTCGAATGTTCACGAATCCTCTAGCCCCCCCCCCCCCTCAAGTTGGGGCATCCGACATCTCGGATGCCCAACTTCAGTAAATGGTATAGAAAGCGATTTGTGGAGACAACCTTAGTGAAGAGGTCTGCTGGTTGAGAGGCACTGGAGATATGAGTAGTCATGAGATCACCGCATTGTATGTAGTCACGAACAAAGTGACAATCAATTTCAATGTGTTTTGTTCGCTCGTGGAACATAGGGTTGGCTGCTATGTGCAAGGTGGCCTTGCTATCACAGTGGAGTGTTTGGGCTTCAGACAAAGTAATTGTCATTTCAGCAAGGAGACATTTTAGCCAGATGAGTTCAGCTGTTGTGATGGGCATGGCTCGATATTCAGCTTCAGTAGATCTGCAGATGAACGGGAGATTGTATGTTGCTTCTTGGTTTTCCAAGTGATGGGGGAGTCTCCTAGTAAAGTTAAGTAACCCGTGGTGGAGCGGCGAGTGAGGGGGCAGCTCGCCCAATCAGAGTCGCAGAAACCATGAAGCTGTGGTGAACTAGAAGCTGAGAAGAAGATGCCATGAGATATTGTGCCTTTGATGTAACGCACCACTTGAAGGGCAGCATTGTAATGTTCTTGCTTGGGAGCATGCATAAATTGACTCAAGCAATTAACAACAAAGCTAAGGTCTGGACGAGTGGCTATTAAGTACACAAGCCGTCCAACAAGTCTTCTATACTGGAGCTGGATCGAAGTATGGGGCACTGGAACTATCAACAAAATGATTTTGTTGCTCCATGGGTGTGGAGCAAGGTTTGCATTCAGTCATACCGGTGTCTCGAAGAATGTCAAGCGCTTACTTGTGTTGATTGAGGAAAATTCCAGAAGTTGATTGAGATACCTCTAATCCAAGAAAAAATTTGAGTGAACCCAAGTCTTTTATGCCAAAATGATCATCAAGGTGTTTCTTGAGAGAGAGAATGCACATATTGTCATTTCCTGTGAGAATGACATCATTGACATATACAAGAACAGCAACAAAAGAATTCCTAGAACTGTATGTGAATAGAGAATAATCCAAAGAAGATTGACAGTACCCCAAAGAAAGAAGTGTTTGAGTAAATTTCTCGAACCACATGCGAGAGGCCTGTTTGAGGCCATAGAGTGACTTCTGTAGTTTGCAAACATGAGTGGGATTTGTTGAGTCAAAACCTTGGGGAATACTCATGTATACTTCTTCATGGAGATCACCATGAAGAAAGGCATTATTCATGTCCAATTGATGGAGATCCCAGCCCTTAATGGCAACTATAGCCAGTAAGCAACGAACAGTGGAAAGTTTGGCCACAGGGGCGAAAGTATCATGGTAATTGAGGCCTTCAACCTAGGTGTAGCCTTTCGCAACAAGTCGCGCTTTAAAGCGCTCTATGGTTCCATCAACCTTATATTTGATGCAATAAACCCATTTAGCTCCTGTGGGTCATTTGCCAGGAGGTAGAGGGGTGATGATCCAAGTATTATTGTGTTCAAGTGCTGCGATTTCATCCACCATAGCTTGACGCCAACATGGGTCCCGGGCAGCTTGAGAATAGGATTTGGGCTCAACTTCAATGGAGGCTTAGTTTGATTGGGAGATGGAAGGGGGAAGTTGGCAAATGTAGTCTTGAAGATGTGCGGGAATAGTGGTGTGTCGTTTTGGCCGAGAGCTAGTGGGAAGCAAAGTGTTGGGCTGATTAATGGGTTCAGATGTGTCAACAATAGGGGTGAGCTGACATGTGGTGTTAGGATTGGTGTTTATGAGCGCACCAGTGCTAGTTAGTGGATTATTGTGCTGAGTGGGTGGTTGGGGTGGGCTAGGATAGTCACAATCATCAAAGGTAGATAAAGGAAGAATAGATTGGTGATGTGGGAAGATGGTTGAGAGGCCATGCTGGAAGGGGAAGCGGTCCTCATAGAATATGATGTCATGACTAGTAAATATTTTGTGTGTCAAGAGAGTAAACCCGGTACCCCTTTTGGCCGTGTGGATAACCCACAAAAATGCAAGGGGTAGCCCGATGTGCAAATTTTTCATGAGGCCGAGGACGAATTTGAGCATAACATAGGCATCCAAAGGCTCTTATGTGATGATAGGAGGGTGGTTGGTGGAAAAGGGCTTCATAAGGGAGTGGGTAGTAAGTTTATTATATATGTGGCTGTAAGTATGCATTCCCCCCAAAAGTGAAGAGGGAGGGAAGCTTGAAATCTCAAGGCCTGGGCCACTTTTAGTAAATGGCGTTGTTTTCGTTCTGTCACTCCATTTTGTTGGGGTGTATCTACACATGAGGTCTGATGTAAAATACCTTGTTGTGAAAAATATTGTTGAACAGGCCCTGAGAGAAACTCCAAACCATTATTAGAGCGTATTTGCTTTACATTAGTATTGAATTGTCTCTTCACCATAGCACAGAAAGATACAAGAAAATGACCAGCCTCAGATTTATTTCTTAGGAGGTAGACCCACGTACATCTCGTGTGGTCATCTACTCTAGGAATGAGAGCAAGCTGGCCTTGTGAGGCGTGGCCTAAGCGTATATGCCAAAGTGTGGAACTGATGGCAGACGTGGAATGAGCAGTTTGTGAGTGGTTGGCGCTGGAATGGAAAGTGAAGTAATACAGTCCATTTTGGAGCTCACCCAATCACGGTCTTGGAGTGTGGGTCTTGGAGAATACAGAAGGATGGAAAAAAATTGCCACACAGTTCAGCTGTTGTGTGATTTTGCTGACTGATAAAAGATTGCAGTTAAAGGAAGGAACATGTAGAACATTATCAAGAATGTGGGATCCAACGGTGACAGTGCCTCTATGATTGGTGCAGGTAAGGGATCCATTTGGGAGCCGAATGGATGTAGCTGTAACAGTGCGCTTAACAGAGAACCATTTGACACCATATGGTTTGAAGCACCACTGTTGATGATCCACTCTACGAGATTAGAGGAAGGAGGCTTACCAGCCGAGACGGTGGCTGCAAATTCAGATGGTTCACGGCTTAGAAGAGAGATCAACTGCGTATACTGATACATGGTGAGGCCTACCACTGGAGAACTGTGATTAGTGACAGGTACAGATTCCTTGGTGTCTTTGGAAACACAAGAAGCTGCTCCTGTATTCTTTGAAGAGTCACCAATAGAGGATGAAGCTTTGTTATTTGGACGATGATTCCAATTAGGTGGATAACCTACAAGGGCATAGCACCTATCCTTCGTATGGCCGGTGCGCTTGCAATGATCGCATCAAAGCTTGGATCGAGGAGCTCCCATGCTTTTGTCCTTAGATGCATCTGTTGCTAACGTTGCCACTTCAGGTTGCAAAGATCGAACAGTTGAGAGTTGTTGGTGACGTTCTTCTTGTATGATGAGAGCGTACACTTTGTTCAAGGACAGAAGGGGCTCCGATTCGAGGATGCTTGAACGAATTATGTTAAAAGATTCGTTCAAGCCCATTAGAAACTAGTGAAGCTTTTCTCTGTCTCGTTCTGCCAAGAAAACCTTGGCCTCTCCACAGGTGCATTTAGGACATACTGTAATAGTGCTGAGTTCGTCCCATAATGTCTTTAGTCTTGTAAAGCAGCTGCTCACAGAAAGATCACCTTGCTGCAACAAGGCTAAATCTCGCTTTAGTTGATATATTCGGGGGATGTTTCCCTGCGAAAATCTTTCTTAAAGCTCTCTCCAAATTTCTGCGGTTGATTTGATGAAGGCTACACTATCATAAATCTCTCTCGTCAGTGAGTTGAAGATCCATGCAACCACCATCGAGTTGCATTTGATCCATGAATTCAGATCTGGAGAACTAGTTACTGGTTTGGGCAGCAAACCATCGACGAAAGAGAATTTGTTCTTTGCCCGCAGTGCGTTGGTCATAGCTCGTTGCCACATTGGAAAGTTGTCACCATTGAGGAGGCAAGAAACAAGAACCGCTCTTGGAGTATCAGGCGCAGGTAAGTAGTAAGGAGAATTCTCTCTGGTTTCCATAGTGGTAGATGACTGAATCTCCAGTGAAAGTGTCGACGATCAGGAAGAAACAGAGGAGGCAAAAAAGAAAAGAAAAAAAAACAAGGGAAGCGACGGTTGGGGATCACCGTGCTCTGATACCATGTAAAATGGTATTCAATGATCAAGAAGACAAGAATGAATTCATTGATTAATTACAGATATATATACAGATTCAATACACATGGAATGAAGTCTTGTAACTAACTCCAGCTGGCAAGGAACTCTCTCGAATGTTCATGAATCCTCTAACATTTTCCTTATGCCATTAGTAGTATTCAAGGTGGATCCTTTCAGTGAGAAAAATACCTTATTTAGCCTCATAATTTGAAGTCAACTTATTGGCAAGTATTTCATAGTCATCTTTTTGTCCTTGTTCAACAATTTAGTGTGGGCTATATAAATTCTATTCCTCTATTGTATTCTTTTGTAAGTCTCTAGCTTGACCTGGAAATTAGGGTCGTTTAAGAGAATTTGGAATACATAGAAAAAAGGAAAGAAAGAAAATTGTGCTAGCTTTTGATCTGACACAGATATTTAGCTAGACTAGCTCAGGTACATTAGGAATTGTATATGTATGCAATGGACTATGGCTAGTTAAGTCAAAGAATTGGTGGACAAAGGCTTGACTATTAGAAAGCTTGCAACATGGAACATTTCTAAAGATTTGCGTAAGTTGCATTCCTTCTTCTTGCATTGAAACTTCTCGTTTAATTTCATGCAGGCAGTGTTCTGTCTAGGTTGTTTTGGTGAAATTATTACTTATTAGTGATCTATTTATAGTTTGTGACTCTAATTTGCATATTTATTCTTTGGCCAGTCTTTCCATTGCCGTCGAGGGAAAGCATACCTTTTCAATATTGTGTGAGTTCTCTATGATTTTCTTATGTTCATGTTCTTGATTGCTGTGTGCTCTTTTCATAGAGTTGAACTCCCACCTATTTATTTCTTTATTTAAGTTCTGATTTTATTTTTATGCAACTTAACATAATTAATGTGTAGCTCTAGATATACACCTTACTATTTGAATTCCAGTGTGCCTTACTATTTAAGTTTCAAATGTTATTAACTAATTATACTGAAAATTTGCCCTTCATGATTTATTTTTTGAAACAATTGATTCTGTAGCTATTGGAAGTGTATCCAAATGAGTTTAGATTTCAAATCCTTTCTCAGGTCTTAGGTTTTAGTCCAATGTTCTGAGAGATAATAGAGATTAATTGATATGCATGGGGAACATTGAAGCATGGGAAACTATATCTCAAGCCACAAGTTAGAAAATTGATGATCATAATTTCAAGTTTATTATATCAATTTGTTGCCATCTCTTAAATTTATTTCATAGAATATGAAAACTAGTTTTCATTTAGATTGCAACTAGGAAAAACACTCATGAAATATGTGGTTATTATTATTTTTATCTTTCTTTCCTTTTTTTTTGTTTGATCTGTAGCATTATATTTCACTAATAGACCAAAAAGTTCTACAGTATGTGCAAAAATAGGGGTTAAGAAAGAACAGGGAACATTGTAATGGCATGGCACTGCCACTATACAATTCCTCTCTCCCCACCCAAATGTGACGACAATCATCATTATGTTATTTTGGGTTTAACTGACTACTGGATTAGAGCCCCCTCTTTTTCTCTCTAAATCACTACTGACAGAATAGGTGGGTGATTGGGAGAGGGGGTGCTGCCCCTGGATTCATTCTTTCAAAGAATCTGTGATCCATTCTTCCTTCTTCTGCAATCAATTCCTTGATCTTCTTCTCCTAATTCTTCTCCAACTTTAAAGGCCTATGCCTCAGTTCAAATTTATCTCAAGTTGTAAAACCATGAAACAAAAGTGAACAATAATCTAATATTCAGTCTAAATAATATTAACCAAGAGTGATGCCATGAATTTAGTTTGATGCTTATCTATAGTATTTCCTACACCCAAAACAATAGCTAAATTATATTAATCAAGAAGAATTAAGGGAATTGCTAAAAAAGATGAAATTTAAATGTAAAACTTAAATACAAGTCAACAAGTGTAATTCATTCCAAATAAATGGATTGTATCTTCTTTTTTCTTTGATCAGTAGATTGAATCTTATCTTCCATTGATTCAAGTATTCAACTGGATCTCAGTGTTACTGTTGTGTTGAAGCGATGACTAGTTGTTTTGGCCCATCTAGTTGATGTGATGGCTAGTTGGTGCCTAGGTCCTGATTAATTGATAGAAAGATATGCTCAAATGCGAGATATTGATATAGTCTCCTAGATAAGTTAATATAGACTACAATTATGGAAGAAAAGAATGATATGAACATTTAGTATACAGTCCTTGTTTTGTAAACAAAGAAAAAGTTAGATTGGATAGGCTAAGACAGGGAGTCATAGCCTTTTTTTCAAAGAAAGAGTGCAATCTTGACTATTTGATGTGCCATTTGTTTGTGGAAATTCCGTACCAACACACCACTGCTTGGAAGAAAATTTAAAATAATTCTATATTATTTCAATTAATTAGAGATGTAAAAATAAATAAATAGATAAAACATTAAAATGATTTTTGTGATTGACTAGGTTGACTAGTCATTAATCAATTATTAGTCTACCTAGTTGATCCTTAGTTGTCCGAGGTGACCGTATCACGAGGATTGACCGACTAGTCAGTCAGGGATGCCGTTGATCAGACCCTCAATTGACTAGCCTGTCACATTGACACTTTGTTGACACTTAATAACACTGCCGGATCTTTCAATGACACAAGTTCTCCAACCAGCCGCTAGGGAAGGAAAACCTCATCCCATTCCTTTCTTTTCTATTTGTTACAATTTTGTCATTTATTTTGGAGGCACTAATTATGGTTTATTATGCTGTTATGGGAGACATATGTGTAGGAATCCACTATTAACTGAGATAATGGTTCAAAGTAACAATACTCTTGATATACAAATTTTGTTAATCGGGAGTTTCAGCTCACCAAAATACTATTATTATTATTTTAATTTTTGGTCTGACGATTTGACAGGAAACCTGTCACATCACATATTAGAGTTTTAAAAAGTTGGAACTCTTGTAAATCTTTGTATTATGTGTATTGGTGGTCCTAAAAGCTGATACAATACGCACCTAATCAGATGTATGATATTGATACTTTGAACCTTGACTGAGAGGAGAGATGTGATTGTGGATATTTTGGAAAGGGAAGGCTTTGGCCACATCAAGAAAGTAGTAAGAGAAAAAAAATTAATTAATATTTTAAAATGTTGCCTTCTTTACCTTTCTTGTCATCTCTGAGGGCATTTAATGGAAAAAATAGAGAAATGTTTATTGAACCTCATTAGAAATGTAGGAAGGTAGCTTCACTTAATGTATGAGTATTCATACACATAATTGTATCTTTATTTGAGTCTGTGATATATGCTTTTCTAATCAATTACAAGATCAAATCAACTCGACAACAATTCATTTATAATAATAGAAACACAGAAAAGACAGCCTCTTCATCCATCATACGTGGAAAATGAAATAGCCCAAAGGACTCGTGACTCAAAACCCAAACCATCAACTCAGCTCTGAGAGGTGCCTTTGATTGCCAGGAGGATGCCATTGGAACCGAATTGGGGCATGTATTAAATCCCAAGACTCAATGGCAAAAGAGCAAGTCTGCTGATGGATAAATTCATGATTCTTCTTACTAAGGATGCAGACATGTGGAGAACTGGAGATATATACCATTTCTTTCTTCTAAGTTGGTGAATCTCACAAGTGTTAATGAACTCAAGAGTCACTTCTGAATATGAAGCTCTTACTTTTGGTGGAATATGCTCTAACCTACAACATTTAACGAAGCCTCAAGTAAGAGAGGGTTCGGAAGCAAACCTTGAAAAAAGGAAAATCAACAATAAGGCACCATTGCTATCTGAAATTATCATGCTGTTATCCTCATTGGTTCAAGATAAATCTCCCTTAAACAAATCAATGAGGTAAAAGCCAACCAAAAATTGAAAAGAAAAAATAAAAATCAATGAGGTAAACCACATCCTTATTCTGATGTTATCTAATATCTCTTTTGAAACCCAAATCCCAAGATAACCCAGAAGAGGAACAAGACATATGGAAAAAATGTAGACATGCATAGGAAAAAGAAAGGGTGAAGTCGGTAATTTCTGACTTCTCATCAGAGATCCTCCAATAACTTTACCTTATGACCAGACACTGGATCATATTTTATCAATCTGAAGAAGGTTTCTAGAATTCCAGCAATGGGTTTCCAAGGGTTCACTAAAAGTAACAATGTTAGATGGAAATGAGTTCCATGCATCAAACCATTTTCTTTTGATGATTGAATATCAGACTTTTGTAAGGAATTTCCACAACCATTTCCCTAAGAGAGTGGCATTCCTCTTTTTCATTTGCTTAAATCCCAACTGAGCATCATCCTTTCTTTTTTATCTTCAACTTCACCAAATGATACTTTCTTTGGTACTCTCTGTACCCATAAAAAAGGTCTGTAATTATCAATTACTTGAATTTACTATATATGCTATATACAATTTAAGTTGTTGGACAATTGCCTAGGTGCCCCAAATTTCTATAAGTAGCCTCTTCTATGACTTTTGACAATGTTGGATCTAGGTGCCACACCATTTGAAAGCCAAGATGCTTCCAGTAGAATTAAAGAATGTTTCCAGCTAATCTCTCTTGGGTTTATAACTTGCACTTCATTCTGAGGGACTGATTCCATTACTCATCTTATGGAATTGCTTTGACTGGTGTTAAGACACAAATAAGGGGAATAGAGGGACAAGTGTACAAGAAGAGGCCACATCAACCTTTACGTAATGTAACTGACAGCCAACCACTCGAACAAACTAAATAACAAACTGGACAAGTGGAGAGGATGATATAACAGAATTGTAACGGAAGTGTTATAAATAAGGAAAGGAAGCCAGAAGAGGAGGTATTGATTTTGGGAATTCAGTCTCTCTCTCTCTCTCTCTCTCTCGTTTTAGGAGGCAGGCTTCCTCGAAAAGCCCTGAGTTAGGCAGTTACCTAACAAGTTGGTATCAGAGCAAGTACACTACTTGGGGCACGTAGTCGAAAACGGCACTGTAGCGGCAGACCCGGAAAAGATCTCAAGCATGATAAATTGGCCCAAACCTAACAGGGTACTACCGGCGATTCATCAGAGGGTATGGACTGATTGCTGCCCCCTTGACAAGTTTACTTAAGAAGAATGGGTTCTGCTGGACTAGGGAGGCCCAACAGGCCTTCGAGACGCTCAAAACAACTGTTTTGTCCCCACCGACGCTCGCACTTCCAGATTTCTCAAAGGACTTCATCATTGAATGTGATGCGTCAAGCCAAGGAGCGGGTGCGGTTCTCATGCAAGAAGGAAGGCCACTAGCGTTTTTCAGCAAAGCATTGACAACACAAAAATGGGCCAAGTCAGTATACGAACGAGAACTGATAGCAATTGTTTTCGCAGTTCAGCGGTGGTGACCCTACCTCCCCTACCTTCTAGGGAGGAGGTTCATCATACGAACTGACCACCATAGCTTGAAATTTCTGTTGGAGCAGCCACTATTATCCCCAGAACAGCAGCGATGGATAGCCAAATTACTCGGCTACGATTATGTCATTGAATACAAGGTAGGGCACACTAACAAGGTGGCAGATGCACTGTCACGCCAACCACAACTATTTCCATTACTTCTCACGGGCCCAACGTGTTCCTTCATGAGTCAGTTAAGGGAAGAAGCTGAAAGACACCCATAACTGAGCAAGTTGTGTTCACAGGTCCAAGAGGACCCTACCAGCCACCCAGGGTACACAGTGGAGAATAACTTGCTGTTGTATAAACGTCAAATGG